CCCCTCTCCCTTCCCTTTCTTTCCCTCTCCCCCCACTTTTTTTTGACACAGGGTTTTGCTCTTTTGCCCAAGCTGTAGGGCAGCAGTGTGGTCATACCTCACTGCAGCCTCAGCCTCTTGGGCTCAAACAATCCTCCCACCTCAGCCTCCTTCGTAGCTGGGACTGTAGGTGTGGGCCACCACACAGGCTAATTTTAAAACTAGATGGACTGTCACTTGGTCAGGCTGATCTCAAACTACTGGTTTGAAGCGCTCATGCTGCCTCAGCCTTCCAAGTATCTAGGATTACAGGCATGAACCACCATGCCGGGCCCGCAGTGACTATTTTGTACGTGCTTCTTTAGACTTTTTTTTATTTTTGAGGCAGGGTCTCACTCACTCTGTCGCCCAGGCGGGAGTGCAGTAGCACGATCACAGTTCATTGCATCCCTCAACTCTTGGACTCAGGCGGTTCTCCTGTGTTATCCTCTCAAGGAACTGGGACTACAGGTGTATGCCACCACACCTGGATAAATTTTTTTTTTTGAGTTGGAGTCTCACTCTGTCACCCAGACTGGCGTGCAGTGGCACATGCTCTGGGCCACAACAGCTTCGACCTGCTGGACTCCTGCGATCCTTCTGCCTCAGCCTTCCAAGTAGCCGGAACTATAGGCGCACGCTATCACACCCAGCTAATTTTTGATTTATTGTAGAGACGAGGTCTCGCCAAGTTGTCCTTGCTGGTCTTGAACCCATGGGCTCAGGCAATCCACTCGCCTTGGCCTCTCAATGTGCTGGGATTACAGGCTGAGCCACCGAGCCCAGCCAACTAATTTTTTATTTTTTCCTTTTGTAAAGACAAGCTCTCGCTATGTTGCCTAGGCTGATCTTGAACTCCTAGACTCAAGCTGTCCTCACACCTCAGCTTCCCAAAATGCTGGGATTACAGGCATGAGCCACCACGCCCAGCCAGTGTATGTGTGTTTTTAACTTAGATTCTGCCAAGTTGCATACCCTAAAAGACTTAAAATGTCTAACATCATTGTCACTGTAGAAGATTTGTAGTCTTTTGCATTTCTGCCAACCCTTTTAATTTTATCAATCTAGTGGAACAATATTTTAACTTGCATTCCTTTATTAGTAATTGGGTTGGGTGTTATTTTTCTTCTTTTTCTTTTTTTTTTAATTTCAGTAATCCTTTTTTTTGGGTCGGAGTCTCACTCTGTTGCCCAGGCTGGAGTGCAGTGGCACGCTCATGGCCGCAACCTCAACTCACTGGGCTCAGGCAATCCTTCCGCCTCAGCCTTCCAAGTAGCCAGGACCACAGGTGCGTGTCACCATGCCAGGCTAATTTTTTGATTTATTGTAGAGACGCGTTCTGGCCACGTTGTCCGGGCTGGTCTCGAACCCTGGGCTCAGGCAAGCCTCTTGCCTCGGCCTCCCAAAGTGCTGGGAAGACAGGCGTGAGCCACCGCGCCTGGCTAATTTCAGTCATTTTTTTTTTTTTTT